GACTCAGCCATGAAAAATGAAATAATGACACTTGCAGCAACATGGATAGACTTGGAGGGTGTTATGCAAAGTGAAATAAGTCAGGCAGCGAAAGACAAATACTGTATGTTATCACTTACCTGCAGAATCTAGAAAAATACAACAAACTAGTGAATATAATGAAAAAGGAAGCAGACTCACAGATACAGAGAACAAACTAATGGTGACCATTGGGGAGGAGAGAGGGGCAATACAGGGATGGAGGAGAAGGAGGCAGAAACTATTGGGTGTAAGACAGGCTGAAGGATGTATTGTACCACAAAGGGAACATAGCCAATATTTTGTTATAACTGTAAATAGAAAGTAACCTTTAAAAATAGTATAAAATTTTAAAAATTATTTAAAAAATGTCTTCCTTCTTTATAAACCTATTTTCCCTGGGTCTCCACATTCAGTTGGAAGAAGCACCTAGGAGGGATTTGCTGTTTTGCATTTGACGTGGTCCCTGGAGGGCTGCACCTGTGACCCAGTTCAACGACTCCGTCTGCTGAACTGGCCGCGTACAACTGATGGGAGGTGGCGCTTCCTGTTCTGAGTGTCAGGAGCCGAACAGAGCTTGGGGAAGAAATGACTGGGGCTTTCAGATCCCTTTGGGAGTTGGCAAAGGACACAAGGGTGAGAAAAAGAGTGGAAAGGGGCAAGGGAGGGTAGGGTGTGGGGAAAAGAAGGCATAGTGCTCTGGGGGGTGGGGAAGATCACCATATTCCTCAACTCTGCCCTGTCCTCTGTTTATGTTCCATTTCCCTACAGCTGCCAGAGGTCCACTGTGCTTGCTGATGGCCGAGGGTCTAAGGGCCGGGAGAGTAACCCCAATGAGTGATGTGGATCCAGCGATCAAATGTGTCTACTGACTTTCACGGTGCTACTGCTGATTTCATTGGCACTCAGACACAAACCCTCGGTGCTGTCACTGCCTTTTCAGTCCATTAAGCTTTCCATCGTACTCTGGATATAGTTTCAGCAGCTTTTTCTTTTTTAATGGTGTCCTCAGTTCTATTCTTTCAATCTATATTCATTTCATTTGCATATTAAACTCATAAGAATATTTTTAACTTCCATCCAAAAAATGTTCTCTTCAGCTTTTCTCTTTTTTTTATTCTCAATTTTTTTTATTGAAGTGTAGTTGATTTACAATGTTGGTTTCAGGTGTACAGCAAAGTGATTCAGTTATACACATGTGTACATACATTTATATGTTTTTTCAATTTCTTTTCCATTATGGCTCATTACAAGAAATTGAATATAGTTCCCTGTGCTATACAGGCAGGTCCTATTGTTTATCTATTTTATACATAGTAGTAATGTGTATCTGTTAATCCCAAACTCCTGATCTCTCCCTCCCCTCCCTGTGCACCCCTGCCCCAGTAACTACCGTTTTCTATCTTTCTGCGTCTATTTCTCTCCAGCTTTTTGTGAAACACATGACCCTTTTATTCTCAATAGTTTGTTGGTCTCTTCTGAGAGAGGGGTGGGTATAGAGAAATAGTCCTCTTGCAAAAGCAAAGCCTTGGTGCTGGTGCAAAATGGTCTCTGTGACTTGGGCTCAGGATCCAGGAGACAATGAGGAGTGGCAGGGACTGTGGACACACTCCCCTTCCAAGGTGACATTTGCCACCCAGCTCCAGCTTGAAGGCTGCCGGGTGGGAATGCCGGCCCCGGGTGGCCAGATCATTTGATTTTTCAAGAGAAACCAGGAATTCTGATTTTTATGTAAAATCTTCTAATTTTAATTTAATATATTGGAAAAAGAAAAGCCACTGTGCGGGCCCAACCAAACACTTCTCAGGGTCACATCTACCCTATAAACTACTGATGTGTAAATCTCGTGGGCTATGGGATCCCACTGCTGCATCCTGAGATTAACTCTCCCCATTCTACTGAAACATCCCCCTGACCTTGCAACATCAGCATTTTCCACTACAGAAACCCCCCAAATATTTCACCCTATTTACTGCTTTTTTCTTCATGAAATTCTCTATCTTTCATTCTCTTCCATTTCCTTAGAATTGACACACAATCACTGGTGCTGGCGACAAGTCAGTGCTTCCCAAACTTGGCCATTTAAGAACCACTATTTGTCTTATGTGTGTACCATCGTACTGTTGTTCATGTCATGTTATTCCTTAAAGATGCTCATTTTCTTATTTAAATAAATTTATTCTTATGGAACTTAAGCCATTAGCCCAAACAGAAAAACAGCATCCCATGTTGTATTTGTGTGGGTCTTACCCCAATATAAACTGCTGTAACCAACCATCCCCAAGCCTCAGGGGCTACACACATAAAAGTTTATTTTTATTTGATTTTTGAAAAGTGTTTGTTCATGCAAAATCCAACACAGATGTTCCCGATGAGGCATTTCACCTCCTTCTTATGAAACCAGCATCTCAACACTTGGGATCCAAGGTCACCATCAAAGAGAGAGAGAGAGTTCATGGTGATAGCACACCAGCCCCAGAGCCACCCTGATCCCAAAGTGACATATTTCACATCTCCTGGCATTTCACTCCTGTCAGAACTAATTGCATGGCCCTTCCCAGGTCCAAGGGGGCCGGACGTGTGAAGTCGATGGCGGGGCAGTCCCTCCCCAGCAATGACTCTACTATGGGAGAGGAGCTCAAATCTAAGTGGTCAGTTAGCCATCTCTGTCACACCTATCATCAAAGGTAACTGGAAAAAAAAATACAATAAGATCCTTGGCCCCAGACACCCCACCCTTGATACCTGAAACCTATCTTCACACTGTTGAATCAGAGAGATGTGAAAAGTAATCTCCCCCGTGTCTCTGGTGCCCTTGAATCCCTCCCTCCCCCTAAGTCTTCCCAGTTCTCTGCTCTGTATGAAGGTAGAGGCTGCATCTGAAATGAGATTTCGGGCCATGACATAAACCACATCATCTTCCAGCTGGTCTCCTTGGGTTCCCACTCAAGCCATCTTTCAATCTATTTTCCCACCCAGGAGACATTACTTTTTAAAAATGTAAATAAGGCCACACTTCATCCCTGCCTAACATCTCCTAAAGGCACCCCATTGTGCTTGCAAGACTATTCAGGCTCCTTCTGTGGACCCTAAGGGCCTGCTCAGTGGGGCCCCACCTAAGCCTCAGATCCATCTCCCGATCACTGGTCCTTTTGCCTGGGACATCGTTCCCTAGACCCGGCTCATAGCAGGTGCCTTCTGCTTCCTTTAGGCCTCAGCTTAAGTGTCTCTTTATAGAGCCTGGCCCTGGCTTCATACAAAGTTGCCCCACCCAATGCCCTGCTGTGGACACTACACTGCTCCCTGCCTTCATTCTCTGATTTTTCAAATTCATAGCATGTGTCAGAATCCACGACCACTGAGTAGGTATTTATATTTTTGTTAATTTTTTTGTCTCCTTAGTCAGAATTTTCACTCCAGATGCTTCCACCTCTAGATCAGTGCCATCTGGAACAGAGAAGGTGATCAGATGATGGTTGCGCAACCAGCAAGGGAATGAATGAACACACAGATGAATGAGCCTCTCTCTGCCTTCAGCTGGAGATGAGATCTCTGCTGGGGACTCTGAGATGAAGCTCTTTTCTGACCTCCATGCTCTTCAGTGGGAGGGTCAGGTGCTGACCTCCTCCATCCCGAGCAGAGTCCACTGACCTGGACACACGCAGAAAAATAAACTGGAGAGGAGGCTCTTAATCAAATGCCAAGGAAAGTGTCATTTTCCTTAAGAATGGGTGAAGTGTCAAGGTAGGTTGGTAAAAATGACAAACACACAAATAAAAAGAAGAACAAACACTCCATAGGAGCTGCTGGATACCTAGACCTTCAGGTCCCGTCCAGGACCACCGCAGGAGGTGGGCCCTGCTTCCCTGCCTTTCTGTGTCCACACCCTCTGCTTTGTGACTCTGCAGGCTCCCACTCGAGGGAGGTCTTTCCCTACCCCGGTGACATTGGGCTGGGCCACGTCCAATGGATGGTGAGTTGAAGTGACATAATCAGGGTTTTGAAGTGCATCTGTACCTTGGGGTGTGTTTTCTTATATCTGTCCCACTGCCGTGAGAAGATGATGCCCAGGTTAGCCCTCTGGTCCCAAGAAGATGAAAGACACTTGGGACAGTCATACATACAATATAGATGAATATATATAAAGATTCATTTTCATATTCTTTTTCATTATAAAGGCCATTACAAGGTATTGAATATAGTTTCCTGTGCTAGACAGTAGGACCTTGTTGTTTATCTATTTTATATATAGGAGTTAATATCTGCAAATCCTGAACTGCCAGTTTATCTTTCCACCCCACCCTCTCCCCCCGGTAACCACAAGTTTATTTTCTAAGTCTGTGTGTCTGTTTTTGTTTTGTAAATAAGTTCATTTGTGTCCCTTTTTTTTAGATTCCACATATGAGTGATATCATATGGTAATTTTCTTTCTCTCTCTGGCTTCACTTCACTTTGTATGATGATCTCCAGGTCTGTCTATGTTACTGCAAATGGCATTATTTTATTCTTTTTTGTGACTGAGTAGTATTCCATTGTATAAGTATACCACATCTTTACCCAATCACCTGTCGATGGACATTTAGGTTGCTTCCATGTCTTGGCTGTTGTATACAGTTAACTCACTTTAAAGCCAAAGTTTTGCAAAGTTTCCTTTTCCTTACCCTCGGAGATCCATCTACCACTTTGCCACGTACTGCTGTGTGCCCTTGAGTACGTCCCATAGCCTCTCTGAACCTCTGTTTCCCTATCTGTAATATAAGGGTCTCAGCCCTTCCTGCCTGGATTTTGTGAGGCTTAAAAGGGATGACGGCTGTGGAAGTGCTGAGGACGTGGCAAAGCAGGTGGAACAGACAAAACACTATCAGTGCACCTAGAACGTCTTCCCTCTCCCAGTTCAGCCTGGGCTCAAGTTCTCTGTCTTGGGAGCCAGCCTTTTCAGATAAAAATCCCATTTGACTCCCCTTTTCTCATTCTAGCCCATTTTCTTTAAAAATCTTTCTTTCCTTTTCAGGAGATAGAGGCAGGTGGCACACTGTGTAAACTGTGAACCAGGTTATGAAAATATCTGCAAATCTTGTGCTGTCTCCAAATATTTCAACATAAATATTTGCTGGAGGCTGGCCCAATTTCCTGGTTCAAGAGGAGGACAGAAGGTGAGCTTCAAGCTGGATGTGGACGCAAATCTCCTAGAAATCTGTCCTTTGATGGGAAACTTGGTGGATGACATGCAGTGTGAAGGGCATCAATTTAGCAAAAGGAGGCCATGATGAGTCAGCTGTCTTTTCCCAACTGGTCATCATGCCCACATCATGCCTCCACACCCTCGCACATGCCGTTCTCTGTCAGAACAGCCCTTTCCACCCTGTCTACCTGGGGATTCCTTATTCATCCTCTAAGAAAAACAAGACTTAAGGTCTTCTTTAGAATGCCTCCCCTAACTGCCTGGTCCCCAGGATTTTCTATTTCGTTCCGCCTGCTCATCACCATCACCACCACCACTAACATCTGTTGGGGGCTCACTCTTGCTCCGGCATTGCTTAAACACAGCACTCATGACCCTTTCAAGAGGAAACCAAGGCCAATGAGGTGAGGTGACAGCCCAGATCACGTGGCTGGATGTGCAGAGGAGGGACTGAACAAGACCTGGACAGTGTCTCTGAAGCTTGTGCTCTTGGTCATCACTCCATAGCTCCCCTCTTACCCCATCTGCTCCCCAAGAGCTGGGGAAGTGCCTTGTTCCCTTCTGTGTTCCCATCACGGGCCCCCACAGAGTAGGTATATAGCAAGTTTATCTGAATGAATGAATGAGTGTATGAATGAGTGACTGGGAGCTCCCCTAACACAGCTCTAAATAAAAAGCTCAACATATAGAAGTGGCTCCCTGAGTGTTTACTGAAAGAAACGACAACAATATAAAAGAACCACGATTCCCAAACGTGCTACTGCTTGCTCCTCACAGGTCCTCCTGGCCCCACTGCATCTTTCCAGGCCATCTCACCCCCCAGCACTATCTGTTGGACTGCGGAGGAGGGACTAGTTCAGGGCCCAGCCGCATCTCTAGGGCATCCACTCTGCCCCCTCTTTCTCAGCCAAGGTGCCATGTTTAAGGCTGGGACCTGGTGCATCCATGGTATCCCAGGAAAACCCCTCAGTCCTCATCACCCTGTCACTTCCAGGGGCTTTCTCCAGTCACCACTGGCAGCTCCTTCTGAGCCTCAGTCCACGGCCCTGCTATGTAAGTAGATTCCAATGACTGAGGGCCTTCTGAGCACCAGACTCTATGCTGAGTCCAAGCACCGTCTCTAATCACCATTGCACTCTCTGCAGCCAGGGTGCTTCTGCCCATTTTATAGTTGAGAAAACCAAGGGGCAGAGAGACGATGTGGTTCAGAGAGGAATCAAGGCTCTAGCCTAGGTTTTTCTGGTTCTCAAACTCAAGATTTTTCTGATATCTCAGAGTCTTTCCTTCCTAACCTCAGGTTGTTTTCTGGGACCTTGGTATCCATCTAACTCTTAGTTTCCTGGGGTTTTGCCTGGTACTCTGAGATCACCAATCTTTGACTTCCATTATGTATAAACATATCACCTGGTGGCTCACCTGTCATCTGGTCAACCCCGATAGCTGCTTACAGTCAGCCAGATTGGGTCACTGCTGCTAGATGGTAAGCTGAATGGACTGGCTCTTGCTTTCTGGCTCTGTGTGCTGTGCCCTGGATCCGAGGCTGTCCCCCACCCATCCATCCATGCCTGCCGTCCCCGGAGCCCAGTTTGGCAGCTGCCCAGCTTCCCTCTTCTGCCACCCTAGCCAGCCAGAGCATGCCAAACAGTGCAACAAACAGAACCCTGACCCCGATCCTGTGGACGTTTCCCACCCACCCCCACCCCACTGCCCCTGCAGCAGCAACAGCAGAAAAATTCTGGCCAGGAACATGCGCTCTCCCAGCAATCTGCAAGAAGGCCTTTTGCAATTTGTATCTCCAGCTCAGCTGAAGAAAATGGGAATGGATGGGCTCACTGAGCAGAAAATGCCAGAAGGCGTTCCAGAGCCCAGAATCCCAAACCCAGGCCTTCTGTGAGGGTACTGAACAGACAGGCAATGCCGGGAGGAAAGTCTTACCCCATGTCAGGGTACGCAGGCTCAGCGGGATATTTATAAATACTAGAGGATGTATTTTTCCAAGAAGATACTGAGTGTGAATCGGCACAGAGCCACGGGAGGAGTCAGCCTGTTCACCCTAGAAGCACTTCCTGGCCCTGTGGCCCACATTCAGTAACTGTTGTCGAGCACCAACTATGTGCTGGGCATAAGGCACGGCACAAGGGAGACAGCGGTGAATGACCCTGAAAAAGAAAATCCGTATTCTTGTGGTGTTTGGATCCTAGTAATAGCGGAGGTTGGTAAGAACAGAATCAGCTGATAAACACATGAATAATTACAGGTTGTGATAATGGAACGGAGCCAGCACAAAAAAGAACGGGGGTGTGAGGTAAGCTAATAGGAAGGGGACTCTCCTTGCGGAAGGGGTCAGGAAGTGCCTCTCTAAGGTGGTTTGGGGAAAGATCTGAAGGATGTGGAGCCAGCCAGGAGAGCAGAGGGCACAACACAGGCAAAGGCCAAGAAGCAGGAAAGAGCCAGGCACGACTGAGAAGTGGAACAAGCCGACTGGAGGAGATGCCAGGGTAGGCGGGTCGGCGTTTGGCAGATGATGAAGGTGGCAAGGCCAGGAGGACCGGACCATGTGGGCCAGGCATGAATGGCTGAAAGATTGAGGATTTTTGTCTTAAGAATCAGGGAAGAATTTTTAGGCAAATGAATGACATAGTCCATTTTATATATTTTTTCAAGACCCCTCTGGCTGCTGGTAGGCTGGAGGAGAGTGAAAGCTGAGAGGTTACTTAGAAGGGTACTGTGGTCACCAGAAAGAGGAGATGGCGGTTTGGTTGAGGGAGGGGTGGTAGGTGATTGCAGTAAAGATGAAGACATGTGGGTGTATTCCAGAGGAACTAAAGGTGCAGGAGAAATAGGTCTTAGGGATAAGCGAGTTCTGAGGGCTCAAAGAGGGAGATGTCTAAACTGATACAACTGAGTGAATTCAGTGCTCTTTGCCAAGAGGGAGAAGACCAGGAGGAAAAGCAGATTGCAGAGGAAGGTAGGGGAGGGGTGTGGAGTTCAGTTTTGGAAGGGCATACATTTGGACAACACTCTGCTAGAAAGAGTGTTGTAAGTAGTAGGAAATATGAGAATGCAATTCAGGGGAGAGGCTGCGACTGAAGATGTCACTTCAGGAGTTGTCAGCTGAACATGGCTGAAGCCTTGGAACCAGGTAAGATCATCTGGGGCATTTATGGAGAAAGAGACGAGAACTCGGGGCAAACCCCAAGGAAGCCCAGCATTTAGAGGGGAGGCAGGCTGCTTCGCCTCCCTGACCCTCACAGTTCCCATCTGTAAAATGGGACGGTAATCAAATCTACCTTCCAGGAGGAGCACAAAGAATGCTGGTCCCCTTTTCTTTCTCCTAGTTGGGCACGTTGGTTTAAGGACTTGGCTTGAGAGTCCGGCCCTGCCTCTCACTCTTGTGTGATTTGGGGCTGTGATATTTGTGTGTTCCAAGCACTTTTCCAGATCTGTTTTCTTTCTCCACCTTCCTCCGTGAGCACACGTACCAGGGACATCTCACTCTCCTGCTGTCCTCCCACCTCTCTGGTTGCTCCCCTACCAGGCTTCAAAGTTTGCTTGGAGTGCCCCAGGGCTCTATTCTGGACCCAACCACTGGGGACACACTCTCCCTAGGTGCCCACGTCCATCTCCCTACCTCTAAAGACCACCTCATACCACTGTCTATGAGGTCTGCAGCCCCAGCTCTGCCCTTTCCAGAGAACTCCAGGCCGCCCATTGAGCATCTCCACAGCAGTGTCCATTGGAAACTACAATTTAACACGACCTAAATTGTCCTTCCTTCATCCTTCCACCAACCTGTGAAAGGTCTCACTGCACGCCCAACTGTTCAACTCCAAAAGTCAAGGTGTGAGCCTCGATGCTACTCTCTTCACCCTCTGCACTCAATCCATCAGTATGTCCCAGCAACTCTGTCTCCAAAAGGGATCCCTCATCCATTCAAGTCCCTCATGGCTACCGCCACTCTCCTCGTCTGGGTTTCATATCCTGCGGGGACAGCTCCGAGAGTCTTCTCCCTGACCTCCCTGCTTCTGCTCCTGCCTTTCTGAAGTCATTCAGGGGATCTTTGTAAAATGTGAATGGGATTATCTCCCTCCCTTACTTCTGACTCTCCAATGTTTTCCATCACCCTTGAAATAAATCTCAAACTCCTCACTGGTATGCCCAGCCCTACATCACCTAGTCCCTTCCTGTCTCCAGCCTCATCTGAGAACACACTGACCGGGGTCCCACCATGCTTCAGCCACACTGGCCTCCTTTCTCGTCTCACGCACTGAGGTCAGTACCATGGCGCCACCTCAGCCCAGACTTCCACCCTCTGCCTGGGGTGGCCTGGCCCCTGGTCTTTGCAAAGTTGGTTCCTTTTTGACACTCAGCCTCACTCTCAGTCTCAGGTCCTGCCCAATCTCTGCTTTCAAGGAGCCTCCCAGGCCCCCTCACATGTGCAGAGTCTTTTATCGACATCTGGGGTTTCCTTGTTGGTTTGTTTATGTTTTAGTTTGTCTATTCCTCACTGCCGAGAAGAAAGTCCTGTCGGAGCAGGGACCCCTCAGTTCTGTTTACTGCTGTGCTCAGAGCTGTCCTGGCACATGGCAGAGGGTTGTTAGATATCTGTGAATAAATGAATGAAGGAGACTCATTTTATAAGCAAGAGCGAGAGAGAGAATAAGAGTAGTCACAGTAGCTAACACTTGTGAGTTCTTCCCATGAATTTATCATTTAACCTTCACTGCATCCCTGTAACCATGGGCTTCCAACCTCAGCGCTACTGACAGTTTGGACTAGATAATTCTTTGTGTGAGGGATTGCCCTGTGCGCTGTTAAATACTTATCAGCATTCCTGGCCTGTACCCACCAGATGCCAGTAAGAGCAACACACCCACCAGTTGAGACAACCAGAAATGTCTCCAAACATTGCCAAATGTCCCCTGGGGGAAAAAAAATCATCCTGGGTTGCAACCACTGCTCTAAGGAATTGTACCTCTAAAGCACTGTTACGAAGTCCCCATGTTACAGTTGGAGAAAGTATGACACAGAGAGATTAAGCCAATTGCTCAAGATCGTAGAGACAACACGTAGATGAGGACCAGGGCCATGGTGTGGGCAGGGCAGGACCTAAAAACAGGCTGGGACACCGGGCCTGACAATCAGACAGTTCCTGGCCTGGAGTCAGTGGCCAGGAAAGGTCAGGCTGAGGATCAAACATCAATTATCAAAGTGTGTTTCAGATTGAAAGTCTTGTCCAGGATCAGGGAAACAGGTGGGTGTTAGGGGTGTTACTGAAGACATGGGACCACTCCACTGCTCACTCACCCATTCACAAAGCATCCACTGGTGACAGGACTCATCCTCAAGGCTAGGGTTCTCAGGGTGGGATCGGGGGCAGGTCCTTCCCCAAAGACTTGGAGTAAGCTGTGGACAGAAAGTCAAAAGTGAATGGAAATGATAGAAACACAATTATATTATAACTAACAATTATGGTGGGATTCCTACGGGCCTAGCGTTTTCCGTGCATTTAATCCTCACAATCGTAGCATCATCCCCAGTTGACAGATGAGGAAATTGAGGCACAGGGAGGTTAAACCATTTGTCCAAGGTCAGAGATCTAGATGAGTGAAGGGAACAAAGTTCAAACCCAAGTTTCCAGACCCCAGAGTCTATGTCTCTGTATTTTAGGCTCTTCCTCTTGTCACAGGGGACGGGCACAGAGCAGAATGGAGATGGTCACCAAGTTCAACAGCTGGAGGGGTGGTACTTCCTTCTCTCTTCCTCTTCCTTCTTCCTCCTCTTCCTCTTCTTCACCTCTTCTTATTATTTGTAATAAAAACCTACCACTTGGCAAGGAGGAGACCTGGATTGGAAGACAAAGAAAGAGGAAAAGCAAATGACTCAAAAAGAAAATGAGCCTTCTCACCAAATCTATGACCCGTGGATCTGGGGCAAGTCACTTGGCCTCCCCATGGCTGATTTCCTTCCTCTTCCAGCGGGGAGGTTCGCCACCCCCAGCTCACAGATAATTTGTGTGAAGTTTCTTTGTAAACTGTGATGGGCTGAGCAAAGGTCAACTTCTACTTCTACAGATCCGACCGTCATTTAATCAGGGTTGTGGGAAAATCCATACTCTCAAATGCTGTGTTTCCTTAGACGGGCGATGAGGGCACAGATGAAGCTGACCTTGTGAGTGTTTTCAAGGTGGCATTGGGTG